ATGAATATTTCAAAGCCATGCTCCTTCCTAGTTAAAAAAAAAGGGGGGGGTTGTGCTTCCAACTTAATTAGCTTTTATTTGTAATGTAGCCAGATTGGGGAAACAGTTAAACTTCAGCATGTGCTTTTTCTGCGAGCTGGCTGAAATTCCCTGAAATATAGAAGAAAAAAAAAATCAATCGCCTTGAAAACATATAATAATATTATCAATAATGCTATTAATTATACTATTATTAATAATAATAATAGTCATTATTATAATAACGATGATAATAATAATAACAATAATACAATGGCGTTTGAATAAGAAAGAATCAGTATCTTCACCTCGTGCCGATCCGGTTGGTACCTGGTTTCCATCTGAAAGGTAAACCGGAGCCACAGCCCAAGCAGGAGGCAAAGGGACAAACCTGACTTCACCCCACGGTAAATATCACGCAGTGTAAGCCAAAGTTTTCCAAACTGGCAGAGGAGCAGCCCCCGCCGAGGGTCTGACTCCTCGGAGTCTGTGCAGGACGCGCTGACACAGTCACTTTTTTTCCCTTTGAATTAACTTATTTTATTTTTTCCCCTCAACGTGGAACAGCAGCAGAGATTGCCATTGCAATCATACGATTAAAAATACAGTATATTCTCGCCCCTCATTATTTCCTCTCCTCCGTGTGCAGGATGTTATGGTGACTTTCCCCCCCCACCATCATTTAACTTGCACACAGACACACAGGCACACACACTCACACACACACAAAAAGAAAGTCCTATTCTATTGTACTGGGCAGAGATCCAGAACAAACTGCAACCGTGAGGTGAATGATTTGAAAGAATTAAATATCCAGGTTCTGTGCTCAATGTCCCTGAAATTGAATATAGAAAAATCTTGTCCAAGAAAATGTTATTAAGTTATAAGTAAGTGCAGGGACCTGCGCTAAGAGGATGCTGTGTGGTTTCTATGGCATGTGGTTAGGACGCATATTTTGTTTTAAATAATAGTTTAATTTGGGCTGATGTTGAGAGCCTGCCAGGGCTGGAAGACGGAGCTGTTTTGCAGAAAGTACTCCCACCAATTTCCCTGACTCTTTCAATTTTTGAAAGTATTTCGCAATAATGAATCTCCGCCCTGTGTATGGCACTGGGATCTCTTAATTTATTTGCTGGATTTGAAAGAAAAGATGTGCCAGAACCTCTTCCCATTCACTTTCCTGTGTAGGGATTTGTGTATAATGAACGGATAAAGCCAACACTGGCGTTTAAAATATCCTATGTTTTAACGATCCGGCATATGACCAAAAAATAAAACCAAACCGAATAAAAATCCGTTATGAAGCAGAGCCCTCCATTGCCATTAAAGGATGGGTAGCAGGATTAACAGTATCAATTATTAACAGCTTTCTTCCTCTTTAATATTTAATTCTGCATATTAGATCAAGTCAATTACATTAAGGAAATAGCCGTGCAAATTTGTAAGAGGCAGTACTTACAGTGGAAGATTAACCGGATTATTTTTTAAAAATATTCAATATATTTCATTTTACGTAGAGGAAACGTTCTGATGGCGAGCGCGTGTGTGTATGTATATATTTATAACGGTCCATTTAATTGGTGTAAAGGTTTATGGCTTCAGTCATAATTTCAGAGGAGGCAAAGGAAGTAAAATAGAAATACGTGGTCTGCCTACCACCCTTCATTTTACTCAGTTACCCAACGGTCAGCTAATGTTCGCATGTGATTAGTAAATGCTCTATTATTTACCCTAAACCCACTTCACCTTTGGGTGCGACCTTCACCACTATCGTGTCTGGGGGGGTCGTTTCTGCTTCCAAAATATTGTTTTCCCCCCCCTCACTCCCCTCCCCTCCCCTTGAATAAGCCGATTCCTGAAATGTCCTTTTTCCAAAAGATTCCCACGTAATTTCTCCCACACGCGAGGGTGACGGGCAGTCTGTTATTTATTTTTGGCTGCATTTGCAGCCCTGCAAATGTCCGTGTCTCTGGGTAACACTGTCCAGATCTCCGGCAGCAGCAGAGTCCATCCAGCCCTCAGAGGATGTTTATTGTATCGAGACCGTTTCTTTGCCACACAGCAAAAAATAGGCAGGATTTATGAAAGTTTTCTCCAGACCTCCTCTCTCTGCTCTTTTCCTGCGCGATGTGTCTATAGGGGTAAATCTACAGACACGTGGGAAAACACGTCTGGGAAAAAAAAACACAAAAAAAAGATATTTTTTGCGTTGGTTTCTTTGTATATAGCGTGCGTAACGTGCAGCTGGGCGTTATGCAAATCTATAAGTGCATGTGGGTGTTTACCTGGCAGAGATGGACCTGGGGGAAAGTGGGGGGAGCTCTGCCAGTGGCACGTGTGCGCACAGACACGCGTGTGCACGGTAACATGCATGTGCAGAGCCACGCGTGTGCACGCAGCCGTGGGTGAGCACAGACACAAGTCTGCACGTACAGACAAAACACAGACCCGCATGTCCGCGGGCCCCAGGCCCCCCCCACTCGGGGAGGGACGGGGTGCGTGTGCGGCGGGATCGGGCCCTCCCCACCGCCCTGACGATCCCGTATGATTTTCTGCTGCAAAACTCCTCTGGCAGGGAGCATTTTTCACCCGGGCGTGCATATGCGTGCGTATAATCTTAATATTTGATGGCATGATTAAAACCTTCTGAGAAACACTCAAGCTGCATCGTATATTGATCTCGCTGCTTTTCTTTCAGCCAACCCAGCTGCCAGCTGGCTTCACGCCCGTTCCTCCAGGAAAAAACGATGCCCTTACACCAAATACCAGACCCTGGAACTAGAGAAGGAGTTTTTATTCAATATGTACCTGACGAGGGACCGTAGACACGAAGTGGCCAGACTCCTCAACCTGAGTGAGAGACAAGTCAAAATCTGGTTTCAGAACCGAAGGATGAAAATGAAGAAAATGAACAAGGAGCAGGGCAAAGAATGAAAAAAAACCCACCACAAAACCAAGAAACAGCAAAGCAGCATCCCCCCTCCCCTTCCCTCCCAGCTCCCAGCCTCCGCGGCCGCGCACCCCCACTGTAGTGCTGCCAAATCCCTCAAACTCGAGGGGAAATCCTCCCCGTTTCCCATCTCCACCTTTGCATGCAAGATGTTGCTTATTGTTCTTTTTTTATCTTCCTAGTATTGCCACATAGAAGGCAATCTAGCCAAAACTGCAGCTCCTTTTTGGGGACACATGCTGGGTTTTGTTTCTATTCTCTTGTTTTCCTTCTCTATTTTTTTTCCCCCCTTATCTCTTTTCTTCTCCCTACAGCGTGACATAGACACAGGCTCCTGTCTGAGCAGCAGCTTTCTCTGCTTGCCTTTTCTGCATGGAAAGCAAGACGGCAAACACAACTGGCCACAAACAACCCTGGCCCAAGCCCCCACCAAACCTCGCCGTCTTTCTTTCTCCACGTAAGGACAATGATGCTCTATAACACTCACAACACCCCGGCGCACACACAAACACTCACACACACTCACACTCACACGTTGAGGTGGCCAAGGAACCAGACGATTTAATTAAACTCCTGCAAGACAGACACATTCGTAAGACTTGCCTTTAATTGCACCCAACAAATCATTTTCAATTCGCCAACTTTATACCGGGGTAGTCGGTTAATGACAGCCCAACTCCCACAACAGCGCTGGGTTTCTTTTATTATTCCCCCCCCCTCTATTTTTTTGGTAAAGTTTGTTTTATTATGCGGGATTTTTATTTGAATCGTGCCATGCAGATATGTGACTTTGACCTGGAAGTTTAGTAGGATCTTTACAGGCAAACCTCCTCATCTGGTAGTTTTATACTGGGTCACTTGGAAGAGGAGAAAAGACGGGGAGGGAGGCGAGAGAGTGTGTGGGGGGCACTCTCAGAGCCGCGTTGTAAATTATTTAGGAGAAAAAGGGGCGGAAGAACCCCTGCCAACTTATTCCTAACTTTTAGAGGGGAGAAAGAATGGGGTTTTCTAGTTAAAAAACTACCTTAGTAGAGCTATAAGGGAGGGGAAGCTTGTGTTCTTAGTGCTAGCATATTTATAATTTATTGTGAATTGACTTTTCCTAAAGCAGTAGGCTTTTGCAGAGATAAAGTGCCACCCCTAGCCTGTGTGTATTTCTTCCCCCTCCTGTTTGCTGAGGTGCTTTTAATACTTGAATGTCGCTGGGGTTTTGTTGGGGTGGGTTTTTCGGTTGTGGTTTTTTTTCCCCCCTTTTTTCGCCTGAAGCCAGCTCCCGGCACGTTTTCCCGTTGCCACCCGCTTTCCTCCGGGGCCCTGGGAAGGAGCCTCGTCCCACGGGTGGCACCGAGGGATGCGGCGGTTCCCCATCCTCATCCTCACCCCGAAGAAGCGATTAGGGGAACAACCACAGACCTTGCTGGTCTCATGTCACGCCGGCCGGAGCTGATTTCTCCTCTGACAGACCCGCTGGAGGTTTCTCCAACCCACCCGTGCGGGACTTGGTTTCCCTTTAT